GCTCTGCAGTTTTTCTGCCACACATGGGTGTATTACATCTTTAGTTGTCTCCCAAACACAGGTATATGAGTTCTATAGCTCTCTCCCACACATGAGTGTATTAGCCCTGTAAGTTCTCTCCCACACATGAGTGTATTAGCTCTGTAAGTTCTCTCCCACACATGAGTGTATAAGCTCTGTAAGTTCTCTCCCACACATTAGTGTATTAGCTCTGTAAGTTCTCTGCCACACATGAATTGCTTTGTAAGTTCTCTCCCACACATGAGTGTATTAGCTCTGTAAGTTCTCTCCCACACATGAGTGTATAAGCTCTGTAAGTTCTCTCCCACACATTAGTGTATAAGCTCTGTAAGTTCTCTTCCACACATGAGTGTATTAGCTCTGTAAGTTCTCTCCCACACATTAGTGTATTAGCTCTGTAAGTTCTCTCCCACACATTAGTGTATTAGCTCTGTAAGTTCTCTCCCACACATTAGTGTATTAGCTCTGTAAGTTCTCTCCCACACATGAGTGTATTAGCTCTGTAAGTTCTCTCCCACACATGAGTGTATAAGCTCTGTAAGTTCTCTCCCACATATTAGTGTATTAGCTCTGTAAGTTCTCTCCCACACATGAGTGTATTAGCTCTGTAAGTTCTCTCCCACACATTAGTGTATTAGCTCTGTAAGTTCTCTCCCACACATGAGTGTATTAGCTCTGTAAGTTCTCTCCCACACATGAGTGTATTAGCTCTGTAAGTTCTCTCCCACACATTAGTGTATTAGCTCTATAAGTTCTCTCCCACACATGAGTGTATTAGCTCTATAAGTTCTCTCCCACACATGAGTGTATTAGCTCTATAAGTTCTCTTCCACACATGAGTGTATTAGCTCTATAAGTTCTCTCCCACACATTAGTGTATTAGCTCTATAAGTTCTCTCCCACACATTAGTGTATTAGCTCTATAAGTTCTCTCCCACACATTAGTGTATTAGCTCTGTAAGTTCTCTCCCACACATGAGTGTATTAGCTCTATAAGTTCTCTCCCACACATGAGTGTATTAGCTCTATAAGTTCTCTCCCACACATTAGTGTATTAGCTCTATAAGTTCTCTCCCACACATTAGTGTATTAGCTCTATAAGTTCTCTCCCACACATTAGTGTATTAGCTCTGTAAGTTCTCTCCCACACATGAGTGTATTAGCTCTATAAGTTCTCTCCCACACATGAGTGTATTAGCTCTATAAGTTCTCTCCCACACATGAGTGTATTAGCTCTGTAAGTTCTCTCCCACACATTAGTGTATTAGCTCTGTAAGTTCTCTCCCACACATGAGTGTATTAGCTCTATAAGTTCTCTCCCACACATGAGTGTATTAGCTCTATAAGTTCTCTCCCACACATTAGTGTATTAGCTCTGTAAGTTCTCTCCCACACATTAGTGTATTAGCTCTGTAAGTTCTCTCCCACACATGAGTGTATTAGCTCTGTAAGTTCTCTCCCAAACAAGCTAACAAATAATGTCATTTTAAAGAAACCATGAAGGAAACACAATTTTATAAAGTAACAGTTATGAATGTTTCTTCTGTTTATTTGGATTTGCTGAGTATTTAGTATAGGACCCATAACAATTTAATTGAGAAGTCTGTTTTCTCACACTACTAACTTTTAGGCGTCAGCGTCTGTTGTTAGGTGTTGCGAACGCACTTCATAATACCGGGGTGCTAGGTTCAATCCCAGCTGCAGACAGTTTGTCTTGCGCTGGTTTTGACAGTGGTACTAAGAGCCGACTGTTTAGAAAGCAATGGCAAACTACTTAACGCAACATTTGATTAGAAAAATCACAACAGCCAAAAAATGCTGGGATTGGTTCTGCAACGTCATATAAAGGATATGCAACCAACTTAAGAACCTAACTTATGGGCACTTCTTACTATCGAGCACATGATGCTAGATCCAAAATGTACAGACAAATCAGCAATCAACAGTTGATGTGGATGCAATTGCACCGACTGCCTGTCCTCCCAGAATATACTGTGCTTACCAGTTAAGACTTGGATGTGCAGCCAAGATCCATTATTAACAAACAAAATGCCTCGATGTTAGTTCAAACCCAAAACATTAGTGTCAGCAGATGTGAAGGCATTTCACATCCCCCCCAAAAAAACACAGCTCACAGTGCCGCATTAAGCACTAAACTCATTAGCTCAGGCAGCAAATCGTAGACTGCAATCCAAAAGTGGAAACTGCATTAGCAAAGCGCTGTCCAAAGCAAAAATAACTTTGAAGCTAAACATTCTGCCATGCCTAGTCCTCCATATTTGACTGGAAGCAAGATGTGTTCCTTTCCCTTTTCTGGGTTCTATGACTCAATTTTGGGTAAAATGTAGAGTGTAACGCTACTCCTTAACAATCAGGCTGAAATAGGAGGGGTATATGCATATATCACAGCTTAGCTGTTAACCACAACAATATGCTAGCTAACCTTTTAAGTAGCACTTTCATTGCTTTACTGAACGGTCTGCTCTCCGTACTACCATCAAGCTGAAATAGGAAGCGTTGATATGTATATATCACAGCTTAGCTGTAAACCACAACAATATGCTAGCTAACCTTTTAAGTAGCACTTATTTTTTAGTTGCGTATCCTTTACAGGACGTTGCAGAACCAACCCTAACAGCCCCTGACTGTTGCGTGGTTTCTCTAGGCAATTTACATCCAGTAGTTTGCCATTGCTTTCTGGACGGTCGGCTTTCTTGATACCACTGTCGAAACCAACGCAAGGCGCATTGCCCGCAGCTGAGATCGAACCTGGCATCCCGGCATTACGAAGCGAAGCGTTCGCATCGACTTAGCCACAGAGCCGACAAGTAGCACTTACATTGCTTTACTCAACGGTAATTTCTCAGTACCGCCGTCGAAACCAATGCAAGACAAATCGCCCGTTATTTTTTTTTCAAGTTATCCATTGCTATTAGTTTTATTTTGTGTTTTTTTTTTTTTTTATGTTCCAAAAGTGTCAAAACACATCGCCATCAAATGAATCTATACTCTCATTAACTATAGCAATGTTTGAGTGCCATTTCTCGATTAAAAACCTGCCTTTCTGCCCAAGTGGACAGCCATTTCTTAATTTCAACACTCCGAACCAGTGTTATTGTTTCTTATCTAATGACTGGCCGCCGGCCATGTCAGAAAAAGGACGAATATTGACTTTTCAGGCGAATTTCAAACAAAAATCTCAACCAAAAAACATAATGAATTTCTAAAATGATGAATATTGGTGTGGACAAATACTGGAGTATGCATTTTGAAAACAACAAATATTGATGTGGACGAATACTCGAGTTCCACTGCAAACAACTTCCCTTAATGCAAAGCTATCAAGTAAATATATGCATATATAGACAGCTAAATAATCAGTTAAATAGTTTAGCCATTTAATACGGCTGCTAACAGACAATATACCACATCAGAACACAGGACTAGTGGGAACTGAAAGAGAGGGCAATTATATAAACGATGGACACAGAGAGTAAATTAGTCCCAGTGTATCCTCATATGCTGGCACCTTTCTGACTCTACAGACCAAGACCAAGAAAAAGATGGATAAATGGTGTTGCCGAAATGTGCAAAAAGATAAACAAATCCATCACCCAAAACCACCCAAGAAGCACAAGACAAATACAAAGGATCACAAATCTGGGCTACAACTTGGTATCAGTGAGATGACAAAAGAAGAAGAAGTGTTCCACAGTGCTACAGGCAGCCAGCCCATGGTCCTGGTGAGTGTGACTAGCAAGACCTGCCTGCTCATGTTGGGAAGAACCTTCCAGAACAAGTGCATGAGATCTTTGGACCACTGTTGCTATCACATGTGTTTGACAAGTTCCTTCTCACTCAGTTCTTATTCTGTCTACAATCTTCATCTGTTTTGACTTTAAAACAACAAGTGGCATATTGTGTTGTTGTTTACAGCTAGACTACAATATTTGTGTGTTTTGGCCCAACTCATCCGATTTCAGCAAGCGCCTAATCAGTTGTCTTACACGACATTCTTAAGATCAGCAGTAGGTCTATTCCCTCTCCCCACCTATTTTTTTTTTAAAGAGGGCACCGGAACCCACTCAGGGAATCTTCAATCCTTTTTTTGTATTCCCTTCCTAACTTTTCCCTTCCATGTATGCGGCCCATGACATTCTGTTCCTACAAATTCCCCCTCAATACCTGTATCATTCATACCCCACTTGCATACATCTTTAAATCGTTGTAGAGGCCGAGTCTAACCTCTTTCATCCATCACACACAAAGCTCACAAATTGGCACACTCATGGTTACTTCCCCCTGACCCCACAAAGTACAAAAAGATCTGTTTTTCCCCATGTTCACCCTTAACTCTTTGAGTCCCAGAGGGTTTAGCATCACAGGCCCAAGGGATAGTCAAAAGAGACGTAAAATCGGCACATCAAGCATTAATTGGGCTTCTAGGCAGTAACCTATGAATGTATGATGTGTTCCTTGGGACTTAAAGAGTTAAAACAGCAGTTGGCAAAACAGTTGAGTCAAGAATTGACATCATCGCACTCAGGGCATTCCCATGCATGCTCCGTCCTCATCTTCAGCTGCCAGCGCAGAGTTCCAATACTGATGGCACCGGTCACATTCTGATTATATGTCCGTCTTGCCTTTCCTCTGAGTGTAGTGAGCCGGCCAGACCCTCCGGTCAGTTGGTATAATAAAAGAAAATCAGCCACCATGGCAGGCTAAAAACCAGCAACCAGATCTCCAGGGTGATCCAGGGGTCTGATGGGAAGAAAACATCAGACAGTCCCTGACTGAAAGAGGACTGGAAGGGCCAGAAAGAAAACTGCACATAGAGAAGTCTGGCGATCTCTCTGGCAAACCTCTACACCCCCAAGGTAGAAGAGCAGCGACTAAGTAAGTATAACAAAAAGGATCAAGATGAGATAAGATGAGATGAGATGAGATAAGATGAAATACACCTTCTATCACAGCAATGGCTAATGATCTTCAAAAAATCTGGTCACCAAATCATGAGTCACTTTTAGGTCGTCGGGGTAGTCAGCAGCCAACTGTGGCCCCGGGATGTAATATCGACCGGTAAATTCAGAAAATAATCGGCCAACCTAAAAAAATGGAGAAATGATCAGAAGTTAGAATTGAAATCTTTGTAATGGTTGTTTGTATAATACAGGATTAGTTTTTGTGTGTTGCTCTGCATGCGTTGTGTTGCTGTTGCTGATTCAGTGATTGTGTTGCCTGAAACTGATCACATTTCTACCAAGACAGCAAACAGCAAAGATGAAGAAAGATAAAAAGATGATGAAGAAAACTAAGAAGGACAGAAAGGTCAGAAGCAACAAAATAAGGATTAAGAAGAATAAGACTAACAGGAAGAGAACAACTTAGAAGAAGAAGAGTAAAGAACAGACAGACAAACAGATTTTTTTTTAAACCATGAAAAAAAAAAAAACTACAAGATGAAGAAAGAAGAAAAAGAAAACAATAAAGAAAACTGCTTCTGTGTGTGTGGTTGGTATGTTGTCCTGTGGTTAACAACTAGGCTGTGACGTCTACACCTTTCAGCCCAACACATCTGATTTCAGCAAACTCCTGATGAGTCGCCTTTTGCATACTTATGGGGCGTGGGGGGAAAGGGGGGGGGGGGTGTATTTTTTATTTATAAAATTGGACCTGGACCACCCAAGGGTATTACAGAAAACAATAACGGAATAATACAAAAGAAGGAATATACAAAAGAGAAGAAGACACAAAAGAAGGTAGCAGAAAAAACAAAGAATAAGATGTCAAAGAAGAACACAAAAAGAAGAAACAATAGAAGAAGACAAAGAATAAGAAGACACAAGAGAAGACAGTAGAAGAAGACAAAGAATAAGAAGACAAAGAAGACACAAGAGAAAACAGTAGAAGAAGACAAAGAAGAAGAAGAACACAAAAAAGAAACAGTAGAAAAAGACAAAGAATAAGAAAAAAAGAAGAAGAAGACACAACAGAAGACAGTAGAAGAAGGCAAAGAAGAAAAGACGAAGAAGAAGAAGACACAACAGAAGTAACATTAGAAGAAGAGAAAGAATATGAAGAGAAAGAATGAGAAGACACTAGAAGAAGAGAAACAATAAGACGACACACATGAAGAGAATAGAGGACAACAAACAAGAAGACAAAAAAAAAGGACAGTAGAAGAAAAGAAAAAGACAACAACAACAACAACAACAAAAAAGACATGAAAGGAGAGAGAAGAAGAAGGCAAAGAAGAAACTAAATAAAAATACAATAAAGAAAAAATAAAAGAGAAGAAAACATCAAAGACAAAAATATAAAAGAAGAAGACAAATAAAAATACAATAAAGACACAAACATAAAAGAAGAAGACAAAAAAGAATACTAGGACGACAAAAATTTTAAAAAACAAAGATGGAGACAAAGAAAAATGAGACAAAGAAACTGAAACAAAATCAGCTAAGCTGCAGAACCAAAGACACCCACCTCTGGATGTTTAATCATCACAGCTTCATGTGTGAAGACCAGATTCTCCTCGGCAGCGTACCGGTCACTGCCATCCATGACCCAGACATTATAAAACGGCTGCATGCGGCCCCGCTCACATTTGTCCACATTCATCTGCTTGATCCATTGCTCGCTGGCCTGGCAGGTCTCATCCCAGCCTCTGATGACACACAGGTAGTTGTATTTTTTGTGCTTCATCACCATGCCCACTGCAAACATCACCTGTCAATAGAAGCTGGATTGAATCATTGCAAAATATCCCCTGTGCATGCAGTGACCTTCATCTTTGTCAGACAGAATGCAAATGCTGTTGGCAATGAAAAGCTGATAGACCGGCCGGCTCTGCCTTAGTTGCAGATGCCCAGCCTTTGGATCATGGTGACACCACTGTTAATGCACTCAGAGAGATAGGATGATCCAAGGATTTTGTCCACATTACTGATAACTATGAGAACTGGGAGTAACGATTGGCACAGCCAAGCATTAGAGGCACACCGGTCATACAAGAATCCTTGTTAACCAGCTTAGGACTGGCACTATTAACCACGGGATGCTGATGTATATGCTGAAGGGGGATCTGGTTTGAAATACAAAGAAAACAACTTAAGCAAGCTATATTAAGAGGTACCTCAGTATATTTCCTTAATCAATGCCAAATCCATGGATTTATACCATACCGGATGTATACCAAATGAATCTTTCCATAAGAAATAAAGTGAGAATAATCAACCCGTTCCTATTTTTTTAAAATCCTATTGTTTCTGGAATATTATAGATTGACAGGGTTGCATAAAACAATTTTTAACACTGCTTAATACTAAAATATACAAATGTGAAAGCAATTTGATGAAATAAAATGTAACCTCTTTATCTTGCTAAAAAGAGTTGAAAGACTAACAAGATAGTGCTATGAAGGGAGGAGGACAAGATGTTAATGTTTCTAGAAGGAGAGTTCCCTTCCACCTTCAGGAATCTGACATTTTGGTGTTTTTTTTTTTTGTCTTTCATTTTTCTGTCTCTTTTCCTTACTTGGATCTGGTTGCAGCTCTAAAGTTCTAGCAGACGAATTAGATTCCAAATAAAGGTCATATACAAGCAACATTTTATGTGTTTCTAAACAGGACGTATCCCAATTTATACTTACATTAATGTGGGCGTATACCGAGGTACTACTGTACTTAAAGTATCTAGGAAGAATAATATTTAATGGAGAAATGGAAGCAATGACAGAACAGAGATGCAATGCAACAAGTTAAATCACTGGACAGATGTCAACAACAGAAACAATTGATACCAAAAAAAGAAATTTTGTTTGTTCATTATTTAAACCAACATTGTGTTGCCAGTGGACATTAACACTTTGAGTCCCAAGGAACGCATCATACGTTCAAAGGTTCCTACCTAAAAGCCCAATGAACACATGATGCGCCAATTTTATGACTCTATTTACTACCCCATGGGCCTGTGATACTAAACCCCCTGGGACTCAAAGAGTTAAAAGCAAAAGGAACAAAATAATACTGTGAGAAGAGAAATGTAATTTCTACAAAGAATCCTAATGTAATCAGAAGAGACATCAGAAATGATTTACAAAAAACAGCACTTCATTAGGACACAAGAGAAGCAGATAAAGAGGTCATGGCTGCAAGCCATGGATAGATGGAATATCTTAGGCTGTGAACAGCAGCATACACCAAGGCTTGCAGATGTCTCTTCAAAACCCAATGCTGGAAGACTGAACAGGGTCTGGGGTAGTGGATCTCAGCCTTCCTAATGCCACAACCCTTTAATACAGTTCCTCATGTTGTGGTGACCCTTTAATACAGTTCCTCATGTTGTGGTGACCCTTTAATACAGTTCCTCATGTTGTGGTGACCCTTTAATACAGTTCCTCATGTTGTGGTGACCCTTTAATACAGTTCCTCATGTTGTGGTGACCCTTTAATACAGTTCCTCATGTTGTGGTTACCCCCAACCATACAATTATTTTCATTGCTACTTCAAAACTTCAGTGAACACGTGTTTTCCGATAGTCTTAGGCGACTTCTGTGAAAGGTTTGTTTGACCCCTAAAGGGGACGCGACCCACAGGTTGAGAACCACCAGTCTAGAAAATAGAAAGAAAGAAGAATATATGCTAGGCAGACTTTTAATAGGAGGTGTGATAAAACTAAACCTATCCTTATGGTTGATTCACTCAAACATAGGAAAGGTATATCTGCTAAGATGTAGGAGAATCAAACAATGTAACCGCTTGAAAGCTAACAAAACCTGCGGGTCATCAGGAGATGTGGAAGGCATTTAGGCACACATTTCGCTGCTTGGAGAGATGGTGCAATCCGTCAACAAAGAATGACTTTGGTTGTGCACTGAAGAATTTAGTCAACCACTGTCATATGTTTTTTTTTTTTTTTAAATGAAACCACTGGGAAAGGTTTATTTTATCATACCTCATAACCAGATCATCATCATCATTATCAATTTCTACGTTTGCTTTTCAGCAGTGCAGGGAGGAACAGTGTGCAAACCAACAGTCTGCATACAAAAATAATTCAGATCTGTAAAATGAATGTGCACATAGAACTCAAGTTCTGGAACAAGGCCAAAGTCTACAAGTGGACAAACAACCCAAACTTACCACCAGAATTTACGACGGGTGAGCATAAAGAAGAGGATCTGCCTGGGTGCTATGCTATTATTTTTAATGTCTTTGGGCTCAGAAATGGGCTTCTTTGGACTTAGACATGGGCTTCTTTGGACTTAGACATGGGCTTCTTTGGACTCAGATATGGGGTTCTTTGGACTCAAACATGGGCTTCTTTGGACTCAAACATGGGCTTCTTTGGACTTACATGGGCTTCTTTGGACTTAGACATGGGCTTCTTTGGACTCAGATATGGGCTTCTTTGGACTCAGATGTGGGCTTCTTTGGACTCAGAAATGAGCTTCTTTGGAATCAGATATGGGCTTCTTTGGACTCAGATATGGGCTTCTTTAGGCTCAGATATGGGCTTCTTTGGACTCAGATATGGTCTTCTTTGGACAGACATGAGCTTCTTTGGACTCAGATATGGCTTCTTTAGACTCAGATATGGGTTTCTTTGGACTCAGACATAGGCTTCTTTGGACTCAGACGGGCTTCTTTGGACTAAACATTTTCAGGATATCAGGAGTTTAAGGCTGGTATCTGCTAAACTGCCAGTTACTGCCTTTATGATACCACTTTTGCAGTGCAGGCAGGGGGTCTTTAAACCTGAGGATTTATGGCTGCATGGCTAGTGCTGTCGCCACCACTGTGCAGATGAGGACTTTATTTTACCCTGACAGAAAAAAAATCCCAAGCTTTACCGAGGATTCGAACCTGTGTCTTCTACTTGAGAGCCCAGTGTTCTAACTGTTCAAAGCCTGGTATAAAAATGGTGTGTGAGTTTCAGCGGGTGCATTTTGGGGTTAAAAATTAAGTGTCCCATAAGAAGCATGTCGTAAAAGGCAATTAATTAAGAACCTGCTGAAACTGAATGTGTTGGGTGGAAAGACACAAATATTGCAGTCTAGCTGTAAAACCAAACAAGCCAACACAGAGCGAATGAAGATAAAGAAGACAAGAAAGAAGAAAAATTTGAAGGAGTTGGAGGAGAAGCAAAAGGAGAAGAAGAGGAAAAGGAAGAAAGAGAAGCAGAAGAAGATAAAAAGGAGAAGGAGGAGGAGGCAGAAGAAGAAGGAGATTTGCTTGCTTGATTTGATTTGCTTCAAGAACCGACATCACAGCACTCGGGGCATTCCCATAAGCGCTCTGTCCCCATCTTCAGCAGCCAGCGAAGAGTTCCGATACCAATGGTGCCAGTAGCTTTCTGATTAAACGTCCGTCTTGCCCTTCCTCTGAGCCTTGAGCTTCTGCCAGAACCTCTCGTCACCTCCAACTGCATCAATCTTGCCAGACTGTGGTGATCCATCTGCTCCTCTGCATTGTACACGCTCTCCCACAAGGCACTAACCACATCTGCCCTATCATGTAGCAGTATGCCACCAAGTTGTACAGAGCCAGCCAGTCTGTCCGCCTGTTCATTTCCCAACACACCAGGGTCACCCGGTGAAAAAATCCAGACAATGCTCCTCACTCGTGTCCTCCGCAGCGAAGCATGCCACTCTGCACGAAGCATACCTGTTCTGATCTTCCTCAGCATGCTTTCTGAATCAGTTACAATTACAATGTGTGTGTGTGTCGTGTTCTCTAGCCAGCGGAAAGCTGCAGTGACCGCCTCCACCTCCCTTCTTAAGCTGGATGTTGTGGTATCATATGCTAGGCTCTCCTGCACCAAACGTCGACCATTAACTTTTGCTAAAAAGCCCCAAGCACTTCTTTTGCCTCTTGACACTGAACTGTCTGTGTAAATTATCAAATCCTCTGAGCGAGCATTATCTTGAATTAATTGCTGAATTTCCACCTCTGTGGCACCTGCTGGCCAGTCTCTGCATTCCCGGCTCAGCGTGATTATGACTCTACACAAGTCAGACTGCTCAGGTGGCACTTTGACCCACTCCTCTCCTCGCCTAATGTTCTCAAGGATGCAAACCTGTCTGATTGTGTCTTCTGCCTGAGCCATCCATGACCTCCCTCTTATCAGCCGCTGACCCTTAATTGCACCCAGAGCTTCATGCAGAGGGTGGTCTGTGTCTGCAGCTACCCTGAGATATGACTTCGCCTGCATCACCTTGTGCCTACCTGCAACCGTCGGCAAACCAAGGATGTATCGCATACACACCACTGGGGTATCTCTGATGCAACTCAGAATGACCCGCATAGCCGCGTTCTGTACGCGCTCTAGTTTGTCCATCTGACTCTTTGAGACGGTAAGCAGTCCCAGGCCATAATCCATCACTGACAGGATCAGGTGCTGATATAGTTTGAAAAGCATTCTCTGCTCTATGTCAATTGCAGCAATAGTCTTAAGTGCACTAAGTCCTTTTTGGCATCTCGTCACAACACTCTCCACATGGTCCTTAAATGACAGGCTCCTGTCAAATGTAATTCCCAGATACCTTAGTTTGCTCTCTCTGTTCACGTCTCTACCATCTATCGTGAGACTTGGGACATTAGTTTTAACGATTCTGTTGTCCAGAGAACACCACAAAACAGACGCCTTTTCCACGACAGCCTTCATTTCTGTACACCACTCAGTCACTTTGTCTACTGTCCTGGTGCTTCTAGGCTTGCAATCTTGCTCGTATACACGTTGAAGAGCACAGGTGAAATGGTGGATCCCTGTGGCAGTCCTGGGGCCAAAGTGCATGGTTCAGAGGTCCATGAGCCCAGTCTGAGAGCAAACCGACGTGAATACAGGACAGCTGCAACCCAATTCACCAGCCATGGATTGACCTCCTTCTCCTTCAGTGCAGTCATTAAGATGTTGTATCTCACTCAGTTACAGGCATCCTCGAGATCTAGTCATAATTTCTTGTCTGTTCTGGAACCCTTCATAGATGCCAAAAGCAAAAGTGGCCGCATTTGCCCAAGTGTCCTTTCCTGGCCTGTAACTTCCCAGACCTCTTGGGAGAAGCTTCCCCCTTTCCAAAAATTCCTGTAACTTTACAGCAATTATCTTCTCCAAGACCTGTTTTGTAAGGCGATGATTCTAAAGCCACTAAGCTTAGAATGATCTTTAAAAGATTTTGGTAGTGGTATTAGATAGCGGTACTGATGCTGTCTTAATACTTTGGTTAAAACAGTCGGCTATCTCTGCCAGATCTACATCTGCCAAAGCCTTCATGTGACCATACCTGACACCATCAGGCCCTGGTGCAGTGTCTTTTGCTTTTTTCAAAATTTGTTTGATATCTTCCACTTGTATCATGTCTTCATAATGCATATTCTTCAAGGTGCCAGCTAACTCCTTTCTAACTGCATCCCTGATGTCTACATCATTATGATCTGTCTGAGCTATAAACATATGGAGGAAAGCCTCCTCTTTCTCCTTGTCTGTTGCCACACGCACACCATCGTCTCTACAAATTGTTCCAACTGTCATAGGCCGATCTTTTCTTTGCATCTGCCTTTGCAGTTTCCAAAATTTCCCCAATGTTTTATCGCCTCCCATGTCATTCACAAAAGTTTCCCACTTTGCTCTTTTGGCCTTTGCAGCACAGCGCTTGAAAACATCCACCTTATCTTTTTTCACATTCTCCGCCATCTCCACTTCCTCTCGTGAGCTTGAGGGTGTCTGTCGTACTTTCTTTAGCTGCTTCACATTAGCTCTCTTTGCATTCCATGCCTGTTCTACTTCTGGAGTCCACTATGGGGGCTGTAGAAAATTGGTTCTGGCAGTTCTTTTGCATGCTCCCTGTCTGAGGCGTCCAAGTAGGTTGTTGGTCCACTTATACTGGAAGGTCTTGCGTGCTCTCCCAACCTTAACCTTACTAGTTTAGAAATCAAGACTGAACATGGTAGGTGATCACTCCCATGGTAATTCAGGACAGTCCATTTAACATCTAAAACCGACGACTGAGAGACAAATGTCAAGTCAATGGCTATGTCTGCATCTCCAGACCTCATTGCCATTCTAGTCGGCCTCCCATCATTGATGCAGACCATATCGGAGTCAACCATGGCCTCTGCAAGAGCAATTCCCTGTCGGTTTTCTCCACTGCTGTCCCATTCTCTGTTCCTCGCGTTGAAATCCCCACATATGAGTAACCTATCACCTGGTAACTCCTCCAGTTCCTTGAGTCAGCTCCATTGTTCACTTCTGACAAAACAATCTACCTTGGCATATATTTTATGAGGTTCCAACTTAAGCCACCAATTTCCACCTGTATCCCTTGAACCTCTCGTCCACTGTGGTTCCACTGGCTAAAGTCAAGCACCACATGCTTCACTCCCTCCTTTACCACTAGACCTTGTCCATGTCTCTCCTGTCCAGGCAATGATATCTGTCTGTATTTAGCTCCTGGAGCATGATGACATCAAAATCAAAAATCAACCTCTCCAGTACAGGACCTCTCTGCCTAGCACTCTGACAGTTCCAGTATCCTACTCTTACATGATTAAAGCTCAATTTCTCCGCTTTTCTTATTGTTCTCCTAGCACCTGCCCTCCTATTTCTATGCCTTCTTCTTTCCCCATTTCCTCGTTGTCTCATCCTCACTCCCTCTTCACTAACCGCTGAATAATGTGTCAAGCACAGAGCATGTGCCCTGTAGCTCCAGCGACGATTCTTATGTATAATTTTAAAATCGATACGAAAAAATAGAGTACTGCAAGAAATGACCGGTCGCCCTAGTCTTGCCTGCCTGCTAGGGAAGGAGCAATGGATGTCCCGTAGGAGTCCATACGCCTGGTGCCGCCCCGCACGCCCGCCAGACGTCCAACGTTTACGACCAGCTCACCCGTGGCCATCAGTTCCTCAGCACGTTGGCCCACCTTGAACTTGGGGGTTTAAATTCGGAGTTTGCCGTCTCCTAGATGGACTGCTGTGCAAAGCTAACGGATTCCATCTACCCGGACTTCTCCCAGAAAAAAAGCAACATTTGGCTAAATCCCATAGACGTTAGGAAACTTTGTGCACTCTTAAATATCTGCTGCACTGTGATGCCCTTGTTGACAAGACTCTTCCTGAAGTTAAATACACAGTTGATTTATTAAAAGGCTCCACCTTTGAATAGACACCACCCCAGGAATCACTGATGACGCCGCAAGGATAGCTACAAACTCCAGCTCGTCTGTTGTTTCTACCACAGCCAGTGTAACCACCGAGGCAACAAGTAAAGAAATCTGATATCCTTGAGTATCCAGCAGTGGAAAGCATTGCTGTCATGTGTTTGAACTGGTAAGAGGTTTAATTTAAGTGATGAAAACCGATTGAATACGCACAGTTTTTGCTTTGAAATAATCATGGTTGCTAGCGCCGCCATTCCGGAAGTCCAGTAAATCATTTATCATAGACACTAGGAAACTTTCTGCAGTCTCAAACATAAGAAGAAGAAGGAAGAGGAGGAAGAAGAAGAAGGAGTAGGAGAAGAAGAACAAGAAGAACAAGAACAAAAACAAGAAGAACAAAAAGAAGAAAGAAAGAATTAAGAAGAAGACCCAAACAAAAAAAGAAGGAGTTAAACACCTACCTGTACATTTTCCCGTCTATGTTTCGGAGGCCTAGGAGACACCTCTTTGTCTTTCATACGCTGAAGGTGAAGCAGAAGACGCTGACACTGGTCCTGTGGGTCATCAGTACAAGTGTTTTAATTAACAGCTCTGAGAATAAACACAAATGTTTTGTAACTTAAACGGCAAAGTGGGTGCTGCATAAGCTTCACAATCCTTGATGTAATAGTGTTTGGTTTCTTTATTTTGGGGGGGTGGGGTACTTTTTTTTTCACTTTATCTCGGGGACTGAGATTTCATGGGGAGTTCCCAGGAAAGTAAAATATGCGGGTGGGGGGGAGGGGGGTGTGCGTGTGTGTGAAAGAGAGAGAGAGAGAGAGAGAGAGAGAGAGAGAGAGAGAGAGAGAGAGAGAGAGAGAGAGAGAGAGAGAGAGAGAGAGAGAGAGAGAGAGAGAGAGAGAGAGAGAGAGAGAGAGAGAGAGAGAGAGAAGTTTAAAGTTAGTGTTCGTCAGTGTTCATTTCACAACCTAACACCCCTGTACTATTGAACTTTCCCCGGAACTCTCCCATGAAATCTCAAAGTCCCTGAGATGGGGTGAATTAAAAGAAAAGGACATTTTTTTTCAACTTATTCAGTTCAAAACAATCCAGCATGTTTGACTGGATTTACTGCTGTGCACCAGTTAATATACATGGCTATTCAAAATGAGGGATACACTTTTTTATTCATGCATATTTCCTTGAAGATGCATTACATAGTAATAATATACTGGCAAGAGAGAGGGCAAGGTCTAAAGTTTTGAATACTACCCCTAGAGAGCAGCTGTTGACCTGCAGAACTGTACCACAGCTGCAGGGAACTCTGTTATGCAAGAGATCCTTCTTCACGTGTGGGATGGTTTCGGATACTGCTTAGATGTTTGCCGAGCAGCAGACGGTGGCGACACTGAACGTCTATAACCTCTATTGTATGTTAACAAACTTCAGACCTCCCTTTCTCTCTTGTATGTATATCATTAATATGTAACGTACATTCAAGCAAATATTCATGAATGAAAGTATTTCCATAATTTTTAATAACCTTGTATCAGCTGCCTTCCACTGGCTTGAGAATCAGCTGTACTCAGATACCCTCATAGTAACTGACTCACAGAGCATGTTGAGAGAGGTGGAGACAGGCATGTTACATGCAGAGTGTGGCAGGCATCACTTTAAAGGTCCTGGCTGGTTAGCATCCTTTGGATATTTTCTCTAGGTCATGCCATTGTGTTGGAAAATGAGCAGGCAGATAGACTGACCAGTTCTGCACCACTTGATGGTGAACTGATGTGTGACAAGCTGGATGTTGTGAGGGACCTTTGGGAGCGAGTGAACAGTGCCGAGGAACAGACAATTATGGTTTGAGGAGAATGGCACTGCAACGAGTTACATGGGTATCTGGCCGACACTCGACACTCAGGGGAAAGGTGAGACGGATATACAATCAGAAAGTTACTGGTACCATCAGAATTTAAACTCTTTGCTTGCTGCTGAAGATGGGGACGGAGCGCTCAAGGGGGTGTCCTGAGTGCTGTGATGTTGATTCTTCATTCAACATTTTTAATAACCTTGTATAATTAAGCTTGTACATTTTATTTTTAGTCAGAGCATGCTAAAACACTCAACATCACATCTGCCTCACACAAGGGATGGGCATTTGGACCCTGTGGATGTAGTATACCCATGATTGTGTTGATTTTACAACTGACTCACTGGGGTATCAACTATGACCTTCTGGCACAGAGACAGTTAAATCCATTCTCATGGCTGTAGGATATTGGTACAAGAGTCATACCATGGAAGAAATTAGGGTCTCATAAATTGATCTTATTCTTAGCTGAGGTTACAACTTCACTGCAGTGAGTTCACCCGATACTTGCTCCGGTCATGTTCCAGTGAAAATCAAATGAAATGTTTCTCACTGTCCTATTTGAAAAACTGGTGAACAAACAATCAGTCCTGATACAATCCAAAAATATGTGCAAACAGTAAATAAATCTGACAGTTACAAGAGGTGCCAAAGCCTACAATTGTCACCAGAAATGCAGTTTGCCAATGATGGAAGTAGTCGGTCACAAATAAGTTGCCTATCCATATGTAAAATTATTATCAGCCTACACGTAGAGCAGCTACCAGCCATATTGAATAACACAACTTAACTACTATTCCACATGAAAACCACAGCTCAAAGTGCTGCACCAAGCACAAAACTCAGTAGCTCAGGCAGCGAAACTGCAGATTTCCATCAATATGTTGAAACTGCATTAGCAAAGCACTGTCGGAAGCAAAAATAACGTTAAAGCTAAACATTCTGCCATACCTAGTTCCCCATATTTGACTGGAAATCAGAAAATCACATAATATTCCTAAAGATTGCAGTACGTACCATGTGGCCTAACTTCACTGTAGAGCCCACACACAATTTTTGTGTTAGTTGTTTAACAGTACAGGTTTAGGGCCTTATGGGAGCTCATATACAATTTGGAATAGAAAACTGATCATCACAGTCTGGTGAGAGGATGCAGCAGGGAAAGACGGGGAAATCTGGCTGATACTCGACGTATAGTGAAAAGGCAAGAGGAATCAGACTGCTACTGGTACTGCTGGTATTGGCACTCTGCGCTGGCTGCTGAAGATAGGGACAGAGTGCTTATGGGAATGCCAGAGTGCTGCATTGTCGGTTCTTGAATCAACACTACCATAAAGACAGCTGAGTAGATCAGTACAACACTCAAATGGAGATGAATATGTAAAACACTTGCCTGAAGATCAGTACAAAACTCACCTGGAGATCAATTTCTACAATTCCAGTACAACACTCCCCTGGAGATCAGTACAATACTCACCTAGAGATCAGTACAACACTCACTTAGAGATCAGTACAACACTCACTCAGAGATCAGTACAACACTCACCTGGAGATCAATGTGTACAATACCAGTACAACACTCACCTGGAGATCAGTACAACACTCACCTAGAGATCAGTACAACACTCACTTAGAGATCAGTACAACACTCACTCAGAGATCAGTACAACACTCACCTGGAGATCAGTTCAACACTCACCTGGATATAAGTACAACACTCACTTAGAGATCAGTACAACACTCACCTAGAGATCAGTACAACACTCACTTAGAGATCAGTACAACACTCACCTAGAGATCAGTACAACACTCACCTAGAGATCAGTACAACACTCACTTAGAGATCAGTATAACAATCACTTAGAGATCAGTACAACACTCACCTGGAGATCAGTACAACACTTACTAAGAGATCAGTACAACACTCACTAAGAGATAAGTACAACTCTCACTTAGAGATCAGTACAACACTCACCTAGAGATCAGTACAACACTCACTTAGAGATCAGTACAACACTCACCTAGAGATCAGTACAACACTCACCTAGAGATCAATACAACACTCACTTAGAGGTCAGTACAACACTCACTTAGAGATCAGTACAACACTCACCTAGAGATCAGTACAACACTCACTTAGAGATCAGTACAACACTCACTCAGAGATCAGTACAACATTCACCTAGAGATCAGTACAACACTCACTTAGAGATCAGTACGACACTCACCTGGAGATCCATAAGTACATGGTGATGGGCATTGAATGACCCAGCTGCCTCTTGAATTCTGCTCAATGTCTTGGGGATATTGATCTTCAAGTGCAGCGACACCTGTGCCGACAGGATTGCAAGCTCAACATCCTGGGGTATGAACCAGTTTGACAGCTCCACACTGTAGTGCAACAAGTCAAGCCCATTATTTGTGCGTTGGTGTCCCCCGAGGTTAAGTAGATTCCTCAGCATCCGATGCAGGATTTCTTGGTGTGTGCACCGGTGACAGTGAGCTTCTACAATAGGAGCAGTCTGCATAGAAAAGCTATCAACAAGGTCTTGAAAAGTTAAGGAGTATCTCCCGCCGAAGACATCGATGAATGTATACCTCTCAATGCCAAATTTGGAAGGGAACTCCATCCATCGGAGTATAAAATGATGGGGGAAGTTGACAGGCTCTAGAAGAAGTCCTAATCGTTTTGCTATACACATCACCGTTAAACATAGAGTGATTGGTATTCCTTCTTTCTTGCTAAGAACCATGTTGATATACGAGTTAGTTGGGGTGTAGTAAGAATCAAACCCCTTGTTAAAAGATGGTTTAATGACCATTTCAAGTGCTTGTACAACCTGCCTGCATTTTTCTGGGTTCCACAATGACTTCCCTTTCATTGCGATCACAGATTTATGGGAAAGAGCTGGGTGTTCAGGGTTAAATGTTTTCAGTGCTTCTTTTGTCAACATGGCCAACATGTCAAACTCATGCTTGATATCCTCAATAGTGAAGACAGCTCTAGGCTGGAACCATTGGGCTATAATCGTCACACCTAATTCTATATCCTGTTCTTCCAAACTGCTAGCAACAAATTTTTCCACTTCCGGGAGCAGAATTTGATGATGAAAAAACCACAGCGACTTCTCTGCGTAGTATTTTCCCGTCAAATTCTGCCAGTCGCCATCTGTATGTAAGACTTCCTGTAGTTCATTTATGATAAAGACAAGCTGCAGTTCAGTATCAACTTCTAGAGGCAATAATTCACAGAAATTGTAGAACTGCCTCTCATCGACTGCCCTCTGGTATTTGATAAACCTCTTGCGGCTGTCAGAGGCCATGTTATCTAATCGTCTAAGAACTGTCTGTTTCACAACCATCCTCTGACGAGTGATAGTTTTCCAGCATAAGTTGGCTGAACATTCCATTGATGACTTTCTTCTTTCAACTTCATGGTACAGTCTGGGCCACCTAGAAGTAAGACAAGACAATGCTGCCCATTAGAAGCTGAAAATAGTGGATGCCAATCTAAATATCTATACAGATAGTTCGGTGATGAGAGAAAAGGCAAGTGCGTGGGGGTTCGTAGCGAAAGCCAATGGAAAATCTTTAGTGCAAGACAGCCTGGCATACGACACCACAACAAGCAACAGAATCAGCAGAGATAGACGATTTTCATGGTCTGAAGAGAATGAGGCATCTGAGTGTAACCAGATGGTATAGCCGGATCACTACAACAAGAGAAAAGGCAAGACGGACATATAACCAAATTGTGATCAGTACCACAGGTACTCTGCGCTGGCTGCTGAAGATGAGGATGGAGCGTGCATGAAAATGCCTGGAGTGCTGTGAAGTCAATTCTAGACTCAAATCAACTCAGCTCAACTTGAGTGGATGCCAAGAAGTAAATAAATGCAACACACACAGTAAGTTAGGAGATCCCTTAAATGTAGTAGCCGGTACCACCTGTCTTCTGCTAATATGAAGTGTTGGGTGGCATATATCAAACCTGACATCCCACACTGTGCCAACGGAAGAACCTGAAAACTTTATGTTTCGGCAGGCAACCAGGTACTTAGCTTTGGCTGGCAGTTGATCTAGTAGGGAAGCTCTGACAGGCGGACACGCAGAGCAGTGCTCTACTGATCCTGCAGCCAGATTTGTTCCAAAGATTCCAGTGTTACTTTTCCAAAGGCAGATCTGTGATAGTAGTTGTTCTGGCTGCATTCTAATGAGATGACCAAACCATCCGATCTTCTGTTTCTCAATTAATTTAGTGCACGGTGTGCTTCCCAGTCTGTCTGATAATATAATTCCTAACTTTGTCTCGGACGGTTAAGTCTGCGGCTTTCCTCAGGCATCTCATTTTGCAGGTGTTTTTTTAACGAAGGTTAGCCTTTGATAATGAAAAAGTCTGGAACCGGTAGCATAGTGTTGATATGAATATGCTGTTTATAATCTGTGTCTTGGTGCTCATACTTATGTCTGGATGTCTTAATAACAGTGTCAGCTGGTATAAAAGTCCACTGGCCTGCTGGTGTCTTATTTCCATTTTCTAGTCTATTCTCCCACATCTAATACATTGAGATACTGTTACTATTAACTCTTTCTGTCCCAAGGAATGCATCCTGCATACATTGATAGAGACAAATTACATTTTGGTCATATAAAAAACTACATGATATATAAATTTAAAGGCTCTCCTCTACACGGCGTCATATTATGGCATAAAAATATGCCGGCTCCGTATAACGAAACAAATGCTCCAACAGGGTCTCAGCGATATGTTACTTGCGGACCTCTTTCTGTGACTGGCTCACCGCCGACTGTATCACCCGCGTCGCTACGCTAAACTAGATGGTTGGGACTCACGAGCAGCAGCTACCGCATCTCCTGCAACTTCCTCCAACTAATTTGCCCGTGAGTCCCAGGCGCGGGGGATACGCTCGGCGGTAAGTTTAACAGCGTTTTGCGCATGCAGTCAAGTGTGAGGATACAGGTCGGCAGGTCTGACATCTACCGCTGATAAATCCTCAATCGGACGAACAGTATTGTTAATCTGCGTGGGAGCGCGTGGCCTACCCGCCAAATCGCTTTTATCGTCTGTAATGTCTCGAAATAGTCTACGGTCGCTATTATCGTCTGCAGAAACGCTCAAAATTGTCAATGGTTATAAAATTAATCCTCTGCTACTACCGTGTGCAATGTTGATATTGTCAAGTAATCCTAGTTTTGCCGCGATTTGTTCCTTGGCAGAAAGTCCGTATTTTAGATATGCCTGTGCCCCGTTCGAATATTTTTAGATATTTTATGGCCGCCATAATATTATGACGCTGTTCGGAGAAAAGCCAATTTAAAATAAAAAACATATACTCTGAGACCTCAGCTAATACATAAATCACAATTATACAAACCCTGAGGGCTGAACATGAAAAGTTACTTCAAAGCTTTCGTTTACCGTACCTCTGGCGAAATTTTATTCTCCAAAGCGAGTTGCTACCGATAACTTCTCTGAATACTGAGCATGTTTGTCGTAAGTTACACAAATCCTGTACACTCAACACAAAAAAAGCAAAGATGTTTTCCAGAACTTCGGGGGGAATGTTGAGAAAGCCTGGATGTTCGTCTGCTATCGTTTCCATTGTGTTTCCGCCATTAGGTAACTGAATGCGGGCGATTACTGTGTGGGGAATCGAGTATCTGTATTCATCTTCATCATAAGTCCTTTTTTTCCCCGCATTTCACATTAGGTTAGTTGGGTATCCTTTACAGGACGTTGCAAAACCAACCCCAGCAGCCCTTGTCTGTTGTGTGGTTTCACTAGGCAAATTTACTTCCAGTAGTTCGCCGTTGCTTACTGGACGGTCGGCTTTCTTGATACCACTGTCGAAACCAACGCAAGACGCATGTCCCGCAGCTGGGATCGAACCCGGCACCCTGGCATTAGGAAGCTTCTACTTCTTTCTTCTTCTGCGTTCGACATCAGTCATGCTAAACATTGAGTCCCGTCTGGGTCACAAATAGGATTGTGCGTTCAAGTTCGCCACCGGTCTCCCATAGCTTCTCTTGCAATGTGGCTCCCTTGGGCCAGATCCACAGTCTTTGCTGGGAGAGGTAAGGGCAGTACTGTAGTATGTGCCCATGGGTCCGTCTTTCTGCTCCACGATCACAGGCAGCAGATTCTTTTATGCCTATCCTGTACAGGTGTGCTCGAAGACCTGTCCAGTCCGAAGACTAAAAATTGATGTTTGTTCTTTCCTGTTGAGTTTGTTTATGCTGTCACTCTCTGGTCTGTAATCTCCATTCTACCTTCTCCACTCCCGCTTGAAAGACTGCTTTAGCGCTGCTTTTGGGTTCCTTGTAGCTGTGTGGTGGATGAGGTTGTGGAAGATTACTCCCAGCTTTTGCCAACTCATCTGCTCCCTCATTTCCTTGAATACCACAGTGGGCTGGTATCCCCTGCAAGACCAGTTCTGCTTCCTTGGAGAGTAAGCCAATGTTGGTCATTAGATCTGCAATGAGTTTGTCTTGTTTTTTGCTTGATAGTGCTTGGAGAACAGACAATGAGTCACTAAATATAACAATTTTGTGCCCTCTGTGTTCTTGAGTGATGGGATGTTGGACTGCAGAAAGGAGGGCAGTTGCCTCAGCTCTGAAGTTAGTGCAGATGTCACCTGCTGGTAGAGAGAGAGTTTCTTTAATGTATATTCCACAAACCCCGTTTTTGACTGCATCTGTAGCAGAGCCGTCGGTGAAAACCTGAGTCCAAGTGTTGTTTGGATACTTCTCATCAAGCATAGCAAGAGCCAGGGTTCTCTGTTGTGTCTCAGTCTGGGTATCTTTTAAAGTGATCCCTGGTACCTTTAAGACTACATTTGCCTTCTCTGGCTTGCTTGTCCATGGTTCTGTCCTAAGTTTTTCGCACAGTGCTACTGCTGTTTCAAGCAGATCTCGGTGCGTTTTTTTACATTTACGTGGGGGGGGGGGGGGGGGGCTGAGAAGGCCGGACTTTTTTTCAAAAATGACTTTGGCTCCCATAACAACCCAGCCTGGAGTGGATACCAGGTAAAGTCCTGGAAAGCAAAGGCGGTCGGCGTGAAGCTTACCGCATCACCCACACAGTGCCTATCGTTCTATAAATATATATCTAGCCCTATATGCCAAGTTCACCTAAAGGCGTAGAAAAGGGTCTTTTTACCCTTAACAGAATGGTGGTACGTTATGTTATTGTTTACATATTGGCTGTGATATCTGGATAGCTATCCGATTTCAGCAAATTCTTAATATGCAGCCGTATACAACATGCTCGTTGATTTGATTTGATTCAAGAACCGACATCACAGCACTTGGGGCATTCCCATAAGCGCTCTGTCCTCATCTTCAGCAGCCAGCGAAGAGTTCCGATATTGATGGTGTCAGTAGCATTCTGATTAAACGTCCGTCTTGCCTTTCCTCTGAGCCTCGAGTATCTGCCAGAACCTCTCGTCACCCCCAACTGCATCAGTCTCACCAGATTGTGGTGATCTATCTGCTCCTCCGAATTGTACACGCTCTCCCACAAAGCACTAACCACGTCTGCCTTATCGTGTGTCAGTATTCCACCAAGTTGTGCAAAGCCAGCCAGTCTGCCCGCCTGTTCATTTCCCAACACACCGGCGTGACATGCTCGTTGAAAGGGCAGTAGCTCTTCCCCAAAAGAAAATGGGGCCTAGGAGGTGCTCCATATCATCCTGTTTCGATCTACAAGTGTTGAAATACGAAAGACACAAGAATTCCCCTATTTGGATTCTTTGAATCAAAAACAATCCATGATGTTTGAATCACTTTATCTGCTGAATACCATCCTTAGCTTAACATACTCTTTTAGTTTCTACATTTCATCAGAATATGCTCGAGAAATCTGGCTTCTCCACTGATCACTAATACATTTGTCAAGACTTGCAAACGTATAGTAAGACAAAGTCGCTTATGATACAACCCAGCAAATGACCAGATAAAACAGACAGCTAGTTAAAGTGGTGACTAGTCTGGTTAGACGGGCAGACTGCATTTAAAAGTAGTCATTTTTACTTTGTGAAAATTCAGTCACTTTAAATCAAATAAGGCCGACGACTAGTGGAAATATTTGGTCAGACAGCCCACTGAAGGGACGACTAGGGAAATCCGTGTGGGTCTTACAAGAGCTAAAGTTTTTGTGCTTCGCCTGATGCTCTTGGCAGGCAGCTAACCGTTGTATGGGGGGGGGGGGGGAGAGACTGAGCAATAGGCAGTAAAATACACTGTGTAATGATATTAATCATCCAGACCAGCGGTTCGCAAACTTTCTTTGCCACGTCATCAT